TGCATCTTGTGATATTTATTTCCGTGCTAAACAAACACGTCAAGTTTTTAATGATAGTTTAAATAAAGCTTTGTGCCTCTCTCTTTAATTCACTGTGATGTCTGGGGACTCTAAATGACTACTTCTTCGTCTGGTGCATGATACTTTCTTACTATAGTTTATGATTTCTTAAGAGCAGTTTGTACATACTTGATATTAGAAAAGTCGAAGGTTGCTCAATTGCTCCGTGAGTTTGTTGCTCTATCTGAAAGACATTTTAGTAAACAAGTAAACGCCATCGATGTAGACAACATTTCAGTATTTTTAGTCATCATACCATTCTTCAAACAACTTGGTATTGAGAATCAGACTTCTTGTGTGGATACACCGCAACAAAATGAGCAGGTTGAAAGAAAGCATCGCCATATCCTAAATGTCACTCGAGCATGTCTCTTTCAAGCACACCTTCCTGCCTCTTTTTGGGAGAAAGCATACTCACTGCAGCTCACCTTATAAACGGCACACCTACTCAGATTCTTCAAGGGAAAACACCATACAAGATCTTGTTTGGAAAGAAACCTGACTTTGATAAACTCTGTGTATTTGGATGTTTGTGCTACTCCCATTGCAAAGCAAGGGTGAAGGATAAGTTTTGCGATCATATTTGCAAATGTATATTTGTTGGATATCCATATGGGAGGAAGGCATGGCATCTCTATGATCTTGGTACAAACAAGTTCTTTGACAATAGAGATGTTGTCTTTTCTGAACAAAAATTTCCTGATGTTGAAACTAATGATTATGATACTCCACCACTTAATACATAAGACCCTACCATTGATGATTGGTTTTACCTCCTGCAGACTTAAGGGGAAGCACTTCTTTTTCTCCAGTGGTGGAACATGCTCAACCTAATACTACAAGCCCGATGCCGACTACTGATCAACCATCTACCTCCATTCCTAGTGATATTACTTTGTCTACCCCTCATGCTGAGACAATGTATGCTCCAATACCTATTACTGATACATATTCTTCTCAAACGCGTGAATCACTTCCATCTTCAGATATTATTTCTTCAGTTTCTCCTGGCATACCTGAGATACTTGGTCGAGGTCATCGAGAACTGACTTCTTCAATTCTTCTTAAATACTATGTGAATCACTCTGTTTCGAAAAAAACCCTCTCATGTTCTTTCTTCACCTGATTAACGGTCCCCACTAACGGTCTCAGGTATGACTCCATACCTTATATCTAGTTATGTCTCTGACAATGTGTTTTAAGATTCACATAAAGCGTTCATGACTGCAATAATCAACGATGATGTCCCGAAGTTGTTTAACAAAAAGTGTGGAACGATGCTATGTATACAGAAGTTGGTGCTTTTAAAGTCACTGATACTTGGAAGGTTGCCAATATTCCACCTGGTAGGGCGTCTCTTGGCAACATGTGGCTCTAATCTGACAAGTATAACACAGTTGGCAAACTGGAATGTCGTAAAGCTCGACTGGTTGTTCTTGGTAATAATCAAAAAGAGGGTGAAGATTTTACTGATACATTTGCACCAATGGCTTTTGTCTGAATTATACTCAAGTTTTATGCAATGAAGAATTGGATAGTCCATCAAATGGATGTTAACAATGCTTTCTTACATGGTGACTTATATGAAGAAATTCATATAAAGCTTCCACAAGGCTTTACTTGTTCTTATCCTAACAAATTTTGAAGATTGAAGAAATCTTTATATGGTCTCCGCCAAGCTCTTTGCTGTTGGTATTCAAAGCTGGAAAAAGCTTTACATGAATTTGGTCTCTCTAATGAGTACGCTGATCAGTATTTGTTCTCTAAAGTTTGAAGGTTCTACTTACTTGCATATTCTGGTTTATGTAGATGAGTTTTTCATCACTTCCAAAGACGCCACAGCTCTTCAAGAGTTCAAAGACTATCTACAAAAGTGTTTCCGTATGAAAGACCTTGGAAAACTTAAATACGCTCTAGACATTATTGCAGAGACATGCCTGCTAGGTACTAAACCATCACCGGTTCCTATTGAGCATCACCAACTCAGTCATGCCTAGGGTCCCTTGGCTAACTTTCAACAGTACCGGTGTCTTGTAGGCCCGTTGATCTATCTTAATAACACTCGGTGTGATCTTGGTTACACTGTACACACTCTCTCCCAATTTATGCAGAAACAACTATTACCCCATTGGGAGGCAGCTCTCCATGTCGCCAGGGATTTAAAGGGAACCCCTGGCCAGGGCATCTTTTTAAAACCCATGATGATCTTCAAGTTAGTATTTACTGCGACTCGGATTGGTCGGCGTTCCCTCGTACGCGTCGTTCTTTAAGTGCTTATATTACTTTTTTGGTGATTCTCCTGTGTCTTGGAGGACAAACAAGACATTGTCTCCCTCTCATCAGCAGAGGCTTAATACTGAGCTATGTCAGAAGCTCGCAAAGAACTCAAAATAACTGAAGGGACTTTTACAATCGTTTGGCTATACTCATCCTTCATCAATGAAACTCTACTACGATAATAAATCATCCCTTCACATCGCTGCCAATCCACTGTTTCATGAGCGTACCAAACACATTGAGAGAGATTGCCATCATGTTCGTGATGTTGTTGAAGCTAAGATAATCACTACTGAGTATGTGACCTCAAAGAACAAGCTTGCGGATGTCCTTACTAAAGCTTTGGCTCGTCCTCATTTTGAGAATCTTATATCCAAGTTGGTTGTTCAAAATCTCACATGTCCAATTTGAGGGGGAGTATTAGGATAAGTCTTAACTATATTTAGATATTCATGTATTAAGTCCTAGTCCTTATCGAGATAGGAAAATCTTCTTGTATAAGTACTCAACATTTGCTATTCTAACGGAAAACTAAAATTAATATCTTAAACGATTTCAATAAGAGACCATCGATGTTAATCCTCAATGGGGAAAAGATAATGGGAACACAAGCATTAGATGAGCTGCATAGCTGAATCTGACAGCGTCATTTAGAACTGGACCAAAAGCGATTTTAAGATTGGTGTCAAAGTTTGCCATCAAGGGTAGATTCACCAAGAAAGAGGTATCCAAATAAGCTTGTTATTATGTAAACATAAGAGCACACTGTCAGATCTGATCGAACAACGAGCTTGAAATAAAGTAGCAATCAGAAAGATGAACAACAATCCAAAGAGAAAACAAAGAGTTAGTCCTAGTGAGAAAGTAACTCTTAAACCACATCTCAACAGAAATAGGGGTCAAAGTCTTCATCTTTGTTACTACCCAATTAGACCCGGAGACAAAAACGAAAGGGAAGAAAGACACCTTATATGCACTGGAACCATATATTTGCTTGAGAAGCGCCATGATTAGGGTTTTCTTACCCAAACCTGACGGTCCATAGAACCTAAGACCATCTCCAATCCACCTCTATTATTTATCTCTATACTTTTTCCTAAAATAGATATCTCTATTTTAGAGAAAAATATAAAAGCATCATTGGAGATGCTTTAACTTATGTGAAGAAGAAGCTCCCAAGCAGACGAAATAAGTAATAAAAAAATCTCCAAATCCAACACTTCTCTTTCAAAAACCTCAAGCTCGAGTCGCTACTGTTTTCTCCATCTCTATATCTGTCGCAAACACAATCACCATATCAGGTTGATTAAAAACGCAGGCTGAAATAAACCCCAAACCATTTTCGAAATACAAACCCTAAATTTATTGAAACAAAGAGAACACAACAACCCTTAAACGTTTTTTTTAATTAGAGGAGAAGTCAGTATCGTTGAAGAACAGAAGTGAGATTGGCAGAAAGTGAGAGGGAGATAAACATTTGAGAAGATGAGAAGTGAGATTTGTCGAAGGATAAGAGAAGTGAGATTTGTCGAGATGAGTTTTTCTTTTGATAACTATATTTTAGTTTTTTATCAAAACTATATTTTATACCCTTAAATAAAAAATGTGCTGTAGCAAAGAGAGAAAAATTTTGGTCTTTTGAGGTTGTCTAAATTCCACCTAAAAGCATATTTATCCTTCACAAAAATGCGGTGCTTATGACATGAGGCCTAGCAAAAACACAAGCACCAAGTGCTTATGGATGCAAAATAAGCGTCAAATTTTTTGTGTTGCTTGCATTGTTCATGGATCCCACCGACACATGGCGGTCCGTACTTGGTGCGCTTTAAAATTTTTTTAATAAAAAAAACACCCCTAATGAAGTGTTGGGATAAAAATGCCCTAAATATAGGTGGTACGTCTGATTTTCTATTCCCACTTACTTTAATAACCTTAATTAACTATTATTAATATATATGGAAATAGAAATTTTTACTTTTTATAGCAGTTTGAAAAACAAACTATCAGAATCTATCAATACAGAATTCATGTTGATTTCCGATTTTGAAATTAAAAACAGAATTCATCATTTCTTTAATTCTATTTCAAAATATCATAGACTGGTACTTGGAAAATCGAATAACCTTTAGTTTGGTGCTAAACGTTGAAGATTTTTTTTTATTTTGTACAAATAAACGTTGAAGATATTATTACCAACGAAACGAAAGCACCAAACGAAGTTGGGGACGGGAGAGACAGAAAAGATTTGCCTTTCTCTTAAGGAGCTTCATAAAATTTGATTTACTTTTATGTAATATAAGTTTAACAATAATTGTATACATGTGAATTATTATTATTATAAAAAATCGATAAAGCTCTTTTAAAATTGTAACGAGTTGTTCTAAACATTGGATCTTTTTTCTTTTTTGACATCAAACATTGGATCTTTACAAAATAATGATTGGTGAAGTGTATAATTTATCGCATCATGACAGACATTATAACCACATTATTTTTAGCTTAAATTTGTGAAATATTTTATTAGCAAATATTAAATATTAAGTTCCTGTGGAAGAGTTGCCATGTTGGTGGCATGTGTCTGCGGTGGATCCATTCTCTTTACACCCAAACTATTCACATCATATGGTTTTCAGAGAGTTTTGGCCAAAACACCAAAGCCTCAATATATATGCAATTATTGAAAACTGTTTTCGAGTACAGATGCGTTTCTCTTCCCTTTTCATATATTGTACGTATAATTTACGACAACATTTAATTAGACATCATCATCTAGTTTCCCTCTCTCAGAAATATCGATTCACAAATTTAAGAATAAGTGACTACAGCTACTACAGAATATAACAAAGTAAATAATTATATACATCAATCAAAACACTTCCTGAATAAAACAAAGCACATAATAAAAGAATGAACCTTCGTTTGACCAAAAGAAAGAAAAGAATGAACCTTCGTAGATTAATCACTTCATTCTATAGGTAGTCTTATCTACTTTCGTTTTCTTCTCTTTCTTCTTGTATGAACAACCAGCTTTCTTATGATCATCATTACTCTTACTATTTCCTTCACTTTTCCCGTTCTTCAAATTGCACGCTTCTCTTCGTCCACTTTTGTTGTTCTTTTGGTGATGCCGCTGATAACTTGGTCCAGACGAAGCATCTGAGGTCATTGAATCATCGCTATCTTTATTCTTCTCTTCTTCATTTTCGCCTTTTCTATAATAGTTATAGATGTTATAGCCTTCATAATAGCCCTCATCCACGACGTCCTCTTCGTCTACTTTAATGGGGGATGAAATGTAAGTCGTCCAACCGGATTCACTACTGCTACATTCTTCCTTCTCCATCAAAGAGCTCAAGAATCTTAATATTGATGATAAAGAGAGAGAGAAGAAGATGAAGAAGGAAGATTTGTGTCTTAGAGGTGCATGTCTTGGAATAAGGCGTTGTATGTATGTATATATGTGCATGTTCTAGGAATAAGGCTGCTCGTATGTTTTTATTAGTTTATTTTATTGCATTGAGTACAGCTTATCTCCAACGTTGAAAGCTATATCCGACATGCTTCGGAAAAGAATAATTGTTCTTCTAAATGGAAATGTTTCTTTCCATTTGTTTATTTGTAATAATCTCTTAATGGCTCAAATAATTAGGTTCACCAATACTACGGTAGTTGCGGAAACTATATTTTAAAATTCGATGTTCTCTACCTCAGTGCACCCCGGTTAAAATATAACACAAATTAGGTCGTATTACAATATATATAATATATATATATATATAATGTGGTTAACTATAGAAGGTCAGGCCAATTTAGGTTTATGTTATAGCAGGGGAATGTATCTTTACACTCAGAATTCTCTGTATACGAAACCAAACACGAAGCTTCCTGAAAAGTGGTTTTGGGTTCTGATCAAACCCATGTTCTATAACATGTTCGGATAATGCAACTCTGTATCTTCTTTCTGAGCTAACGTCATCTTATGCTATTTTAATATTTTATACGATAAATATAGAATCATGAACCATTCTCAAAGCAAATTAAAGAAAAATAAATTTACTTCTACATTAAAATATTCGTTTTGTAGTATCTTGTGATATTTCATATTTGTATATATCTCTATGTATGCTTTAAAATTATAAATCAAAATAGCTACGCATATCTCCTAGTAATGTTTTTACACATAAGTATGAACCTTTATACCTTATCCAAATCGTACTTGTATAAGTTCGCTTCACAGGAAAATTATAATGGCCTCGGATCGAGCAATAGAAATAGAAAGATTGATCTGTTTTCTTTTTTAAACATGATTTGATACCGTTCTTATTTAAAACATATACTGCATGACCCCATTCTTGAAATGTGCTTCTGCATGCTGATCTGTTTTTGTTAGTCACCAGAAAGACTCAATTGTTATTTACTTTAGTAAGTTCGGTATATTGAAATAGTTTCGACCGAGACATTTAATTTGGTTCAATATTTAAACTCAAGATTGTTCTATGCAATGGACTTGTGTCCAAATATATGTCCAATTTTGTGTGCTATCTTTGTTTTCATTCGTTTGTCGGTGACTTTTGCCTTTTATCCAATTATTGGACGATTTAGTGATAATTTAGGTTAAGAGACGTAATTTGATTCCACACACTACTGTAGACCCAACCAATAATCAAAAACATTGGGCATGTCTATTAGTCAGCATCGTTGGAGCTGTTTTTGAGTAATCCATGGACGTATTCAAGCTTCTATATGGTGTAAAGTCAATTTATCATCAATTTGGAACACTGTAGCAAAATCAAGGTTCGAACTTGACCCGTGTTGTCGGATGGATGCATACAGCATATAGGAGGAGATAATGATTACAAAAGATTGTGTGTATTATATCTTACTAATAACTAGATTCATATGATGACAAACAAAATTGGATTCATATTATAACCAGTTTAAATTTGTTTGTTTATAATTAGTGTTAAGCATTTATCTTCAGAAAATATATATTTTGAACATTTTCATGACTATTTTTGTTATTATATTTACTGTACAATGTAGTTATTTCAACGTATCTTCAGATAATAAGATAAGTATCAGATATTGTTAATTTTTAGTCATTTCAGCTCTTTTCTTTGTGATTTTTAATTAAATCTATGTAGTTTGTTTAATTAATTGTATGATATATTTCTGATAAATTTTTAATTCTACAATTCGTTTGATGTCAATTTATTGAGTTTTATTTATATAGAGTAGGTAATTTAATATGAAAAATTAGTTAAATTTAAATGACTGTAAGTTTTTATTTATCAAATATAATTAAAACAATACATTAGGTTAATTGATTTATTTTATCATCTAATATAAATCGCCTAAAACTCTAATTTGATCATACTTCCCATAGATAATAATTTGAATACACTTCCCATAGATAACTATATTATAGCCTCACAAACTCCATTTTTCATCTATCTTATTAAATATGAAATATTATGTTGGACCTAACCTTTATTTGTAAGCTTTTAAATTATATAAACTTAGACCTACTTTATAGTAATTAGTCCTACATCAAATCACTAATATTCATTTCTTTATACTATTATCCATGTTTCCGAACAATATACTTCTTTCTTTATACTACTATTCATGTTTCCAAACAAAATGATAATTAATCTTATGTCCAAACTATACAAAATATTAGATCTCATACTTTTAATAATTTCTAATCAATTTTTTAAAAGTTATTTAGATAAATCAAATAATTTATTAAACAACTAGAAATAAATAGAACTTATTTTTACAGGTTTAAATATTACATATCAATTCAGTTGGTTAGTCTCGGGTTTTAGTAAATTTTTTAAATATGGATGTTTTTAAAAATCTAATCGAATTATCTAATCATTGGATTAACCAGTTAAACTACGTATTTGGATCAAATTTTAAAGCACTGATATAAAAGCAAAAATATTTTAAATACTCAATTTCTTTCAAATTAACAAAATATTTGATACTAATTAGTAAAAAATTTCATCATAAAATATTCCACGCTTGCAAAGCACGGATCAAAATATAGTTACCTTATTAAAACAATGCATAGCGTACAAGAGGATCTTCAGTAATTATGTAAATCCTCTGTAATCTAAAGATTCAGATCTTTTTTCAATACTACTGTAAAACCCGTATTTCTTATTTAAAATCAAATTAGAACTTGACATGAACGTCCGTGCGAATATTAGTTTTTTTTATAAAAATTAATATATTATCTTTAGTGATTAGAGTTATATATTTAGATCAATGTGTCACCATATAACTAATTGTATATTAGTTATTTGAATATTTTGGGGTTCTTTTTAATACCTGAAAAAGGTTAATTTAAAATTCAAAATCTGATATTTGAAATAAACGATTTGAATCCGAACGGATACCTTAATACCCATTTCTAATTGAATTTGTAACTAGATAAAAAAAAATTATTGTTAATCGTTTCGAATTCGTGTTCTGAATGGAACAATTTCATTCAAACATGTTGAATTGTTATGTTTAACATATAAAATAAATTCTGAATTATGTTAAAGACAATTAATGAAATAGTGAGGAAAAGTGAAAAAAATAAATGTAAAAGATAAAACACTTAAAAACAGATAATTATTGTTTTGTATTTTTTTAATAAATGATATCAGATTATTTAGAAATAAAATAAATGAAGTAGTTATAATTATTTGAAAAAAAATAAAATAAATGAACTAATTAAGATTAGCTTAGAAAGAAAGAAAATATGTAAGTAATCAGTTAGGAAAAGGCAAGAAGTTTTTTGTATTTCTGTTTTAATAGAGTAGATGAAGAGCACAATCTATATTATAATAGTAGACTTTCTAGGCTCCACAACGTGCCACGTCAGCAATTTTGTGGGTCCCATAGCTATTTTTTAAAAATCTATAGTCTTGGTAAGATGATTACAAATAATGAAATACGCTTTAGTCAAGTGGTATAAGGTGTCTAATTAAGCATGCAAGATCGTGGGTTCAAACCACGCAGCCATCATTTATTTTTGATTTTTTTGTTTGGTTATTATCATATAGGCTTTTTGTTTGTAAGGTTTTTATGTTTTTTTATTTTGCTTATTGTTTTAAAGATCAAAATAGTTGGATAAACCTAAAGCTTAACGAGTTCAAACCAAAAAATAGTTAAATATGGATGCAAAAACGAATAAAAAAAAGCAAGTCTCACGCGGTTGCCTACGCGGATGGCTTAAAGAGCCTTAAAACTATCCTATTATAATATAGTTCAACGCAAAAGTAATAAAAAATGAATCCAAAAACGAACCGACCAAAAAACAAAAAAAAAAATGAATCACACGCGGCTGCCTACGTGGATGGCTTAATGAGGCTTGTATAATATATAGATTAAGAGCTCAAAAAGTTAAATCATTGCACATATTTCCTAATATATATTTTCAAAAAATTTGTATGTGAGATAAAATAAAAAAACAACAAAAATTAATTATTTTCGTTATTTATTAAATGAATATGTAATTTCTCTTACATTTTAATAACTACTATAATTTCATTGAAAACATTCCTCACCACCGATTTCAGACTCCGTCGAATGGATTCCCACAGTCGATGATGCTGTAGATAAAAATGCCACATCATTTATGAACAAAACTCAAACTTACAAAAAACCATATATAAAAACCTATCTAATGAAACTTAAACAACGAATGTTAACTTAATTAAGATTATTTTCAAATTGATAAATCATTTAATACAAATATAAATACTATAATATAAAATTATTTGACCTACGATGTAAAAACTATTTACAGAAAAAAAAACACCGACTTTTACACACTAAAAACTGTATTATAGTCTAACTAATCTTATAAACCTTACTTCACATATAAATAACATTTAACACATTCCTAATATATTTTCAAAAAATTTGTATGTGAAATAAAATAAAATAAACAATAAAATATGTAATTTCTCTTACATTTTAATAACTACGATAATTTCATTGAAAACATTCCTCACCACCGATTTCAGATTCCGTCGAATGGATTCCCACAGTCGATGACGCCGTAGATAAAAATGTCACATCATTTATGAACAAAACCCAAACTTACAAAAAACCATATATAAAAACCTATCTAATGAAACTTAAACAATGAATATTAACTTAATTAAGGTTATTTTTAAATTTATGAATCGTTTAATACAAATATAAATACTATAAATATAGAATTATATCAAGTTTTGACATACGATATAAAAACTATTTACAGCAAAAAAATAAAAATAGACATCTACTTTTACACACTAAAAACTATATTATAGCTTAACTATTCCTATAAACCCTACTTCGCATATAAATAACATTTAACATATTAGATATACAATATTTTCACTTTACACTCTTACTAGATTCTTTCCATTTCATTATTATTTGGTGTCATTAGAAGAATCCACTAAACCAAAAATCAAAAAAAATATACGCAAACATAATGATCCCGGCTCCGCGCTTGCGCAGGGAGTATGCAACTAGTGCTTATAGTAATTCTCTGTCAATTAAAGTCTAGCTATATTATTTTTATATTTGAATATACCGTTCAAGAAATAAAAATCTATGCAATTTACATCAATAATACATAGTTTTATAGTCTATTTTATTTTCTGAAGATAGATATTACAACCGGAACTCCTAGTAATTTATAAAGCTTGTAACAAATCCATTATTAAGAATTTAACCCAAAATAAATCCATTATTAAGAAAACTGTGTCTTTATGAAGGATTTAACCTTTGTAAGAAAAGAGAGGCAAGGAATCTTTTAAGTCTTCAAGAAAGAATAACTCCTTTTTTGACAAAGACTCAGAGTGCAACTTGGCATCCAAATGCAGTGCAAAGCTCTCACTTTTTGGTAAACTATACATATCAAGCAACCTTCACAAATTCGAGAAGAAAAAACAGTGGAAGAAGCGAGATCAAATTTCAATATAAACGAGACCATGAGCATGATTAGTGATTCAATGGTACCGGTTCATCCCAGTTTAGAGAATTTTAATTCTCCGGTTCTCTCTAAGGTTTGTGCATGGGGGGTAATGTTAGGGCTATTTGCGGTTTCAATAATCGCCATGGTTTATGCTTGCTATTACACGCAAAACACTTCGAATCCAAGCACTGGAGGGCAAGAGAAACAAATAACGAAGGAAATACTGAAGCCACTAGACATGGAACCAAAGATTGTTGTCATAATGGCCGGTAATGAAAATCCTACCTTCTTTGCCAAGCCAAGCAAGATCAATGCATGATCACGACAAGATCGCTAGAGTAGTGTATTGATTTTCTTTCTTCTTTTGCTCCTTGATTGTTATTTGAACTTGCTAAACTCTTTACAATAAAATGAATTTGTTTATTTCCTTATATAACTAGTAGTGCCTACCATATCAAAAACTAGGTTTAAGCATATTATCCGTTAAATTTGATATGATTTCATTCGAATCGATTCGAAAGATTTGGATATCCATAAAGCTTCGAAGCAGAGCAACTAGCAGAATGTGATGTCCGTAAAAAAAAAAAAGCAAATCACAATTATCAGTTTTAGAAAGTCGGGTATCCAATTTGGTCAGTACTCAGTATATTTATCGATATGTAAATTAACTGTTTATACAAACCATTATATCTATACATAGTTCATGATATAATTCGTTTATTTTTTTTATTTTAAGTTGAGTTTTCAACTTTTTGCACTGGATTATTGCATATCCAATTTAATTTTTATGTTGAGTCAAATGTTAACATATGAATTTTTATTAGGCTTGTTAATATAGATTTCTTTTGTTTTGCTTTACAATTTCTGTTGAAGATGTTAGTTTGTTAGTATAAAATTAATATTTTTATTTTAAATAAATTCTGAAGCTCTGTTTATTTAATTTATATGTTATAAATTATATTAGTTTAATTTTTAATATAATTAATGAAGCAAATCAAATAACATGATAGTAATTTTTTAAAAAACTCAAGATATCCGAAAGTTCGGATATCTGAAATTTTCCAGATCAAAGCGAATCACTAACATATATAGATATTCGTTTGGGAATGAACAGATCAAGAATACTGCAAATTTTCCAGAGATCCGCTCCGCGCTCAGACTTACCAAATACCAAACCCGTTGAGAAGTCGTTCATGAAGCTTGTCATCATGTTTTAAACTATTTCATGGCGACAGAATCACTGACCTTATCGTGCTTCAATTGTTTTTTTCTTTAAAACTAGGTGATAAAAAATTGACGGATAATAATTAGAAACAATGAAAATAATTTTTTTTTAATTCCAAATAGTTTGAAAATCTAAAATTTCAGTACTGTATTTTTAGAATCGTGAGTCTTAGTGATAATTCAATAATATTAATCTAAGTCACTGCACATCCGCCGGCCTGGATTACAGAGTCTTCATAGATTTTGTGGTCTATTTGTTGATGACCAAAAAAAAAACATCCAAGTCACTGCAAATATTTTATTATACACAATTTGGATCAAAGGAATAAACAAGCTTATGATCAGTGAAAAAATATATTTTAAAACTCTTTATAATTATCACATTATTGTATCTACCACCTCATTTATTTTTGATGCAAATTAATTCCCAGTTGCAAATCTTCATAGATTTGATGCAAAATAACTGATGCGTATTTACTATATTGATTTCTAAATTTTTGTACCTTTTATTCTATATAATTTTTTTTTAAGAAGAACTGATCAAAAATTATCACTCATTCTATAATTTTACAATTAGTTACCATAAATTATTATTGTATTATCATTTAGATTATTTGGCAATTTATATTAATTGCGTCTCGACTTACATTTTTTCGACCTGATTAAAACAATACAAATTTAAAATAATCGACCAAACAAATTATAACATTTTTCAAGAATTCATCAGTGATTGACACGTAAACAAAAATCACTTAGTGACTTTTCAATTAATATATAATAGTTAGTTTCCCATGGTTTCGCGAGGGTATATATTGTATAAAAATTATATATTTTATTTATAATTTTACTATCATTAATAACCTTTAACTTTAAATAATTTGGAAAAATATCTTGATATTATATAATCTTAGACGAGTTTTGAGTTATAGTGATAATTCTATGAATTTAAATCAATTTTCCAAAGATCTTTTATGACATAATTTGTGATTATCACAAAACGCAAGATTGTTGAACAAAAAAGCTATTTTATAACACTTTTATTTTTTCATTTTTTTTCTACTAATTGTTTTTACTTAGATGCAAATAATTAGAAAATTTTCATAATTTTATCAAATCACAAAGTCACTCTTTCTCACACATTTGTTTTAGTGTTTAACATAAAACTCTAAATTGGTTAAACAAACAAATTTATTTTAAATTATCTCTGATCATGACACTATCTTACCAAACACTAGTTCCTAATCAAAATTTTTTTTATTAAAATTAATCTTAATTTAGATAACATTTGAAAGTATTATTTTCTTTTAATTCCAATTAATTTAATACATACATATTTTAATTAAATCTGATTAACTAATTATATAAGAAAAAAATAATTTTTAAATGATGTAATGTCACTATTTTAGTCACATAAACTTAATATTAATGTGAGCTTCAATATTAAATCAAATTAAAATATTTTTATTTGAATAAAAAATTGTTAAAAATTTATTATATATACATTATAAATGTTTATTATACCAAAAATAACTTATCACTTATTAAATAGTTTTCTTTTACTTTCAGTTTACGTTATATGTTTCATCTTCGGCCTTATCAATTTCAGAACTAGTCATTTTTATTGATTTTCTTTACTCAGTAATGTCTTGACGTCGTAAACACACATAAAAGTAATTAGTTCACATCTCTAGTGAAGAGTAGAATACATGTATCTCGACAAACAAATAAAAATTAAGTACGTAAGAATTAAAAAGAACCAAGAACACAACAAATATATCTTAATATTTTTCTTTCCTGTTTTATTTATTTATTTATGTCTTTTTCTTTTTTTTGTTTATATCAAAAAAATAAACATGCCAATTTTATTATAATCAAAGCTACATGAATTATATTAATAGAGTATTAACTCTAATCTAGTATTGTTATAGGGTTCTGATATAAAATTTTATATTATAATAATCTTTTTATTGATTAATATTATTTTAAATGATTTACCATATAATTTTTATGTTTTTAAATATACAAATACTTTAATCATATCTAAAGTTATAAATCAACTATGATATCACATTTGTCATTGAAAAATGGTTATAATTTTTTTAATTATGTATTTGGATGCGTGCATCTTTGATAAGTTAATTTATTTTGCTTAGTAAAAACTAAAAACCAAAAAGCATTCTCAATTAGGTAATAGTAACTAACAGATGAAAGGATAAGTGAAGGATGAAATGTCAAGATGCTGTATGGATAAGACATTGAATATGTTAACTGTAGGGGATAAAGTATTTGACATAATTAATCATATTGCATTTATCTTTTTGCAGGCAAGTAACAAGTTTTATAATTAATATGTATATATATATATATATATATAGTGAGTAAAAATATCATTCGATTTATATTGCTATCTATGATTTATTGTATCCACTACTAATATCAATACTATTAAAATATACATAATTTACACTTACAAATAATGTCGGGTGAACCATTAAATTTAACGAGTTTTCTTATGATTACTTCTTATACCTAACCTAATTATTATTAAATATATACCCTAACCTAAAATTAAGAAACTAAATATCTAATCTATTGTTTTAAAAAATAGATAGAGTATTGAAATTAAATATATATATATATATTTGATAAAATAGATATTAATAGTTATCTACTATTAATATTTAATGATATGATGGAAAATGTTATTATTAATATTTTTATCAATATAATTTTATAGGTTATTCCAACAAGTAAATACTTATCAAATATAAAATAAATGAACAAAATATAAAACACACTTTAATTTTGGCTTTGACGTCAGGTGCCCGTTAGGATAGGTGTTGGGTATTGTGAATTTTGGTTCTATATTATTACATATTAGGTCTCATTCCGGTAAAATTTTAAGCATGGACCGGGTTGGATATAACACGACAGTTTTGGTTTTGGTTTATATCACATTCTAAAACCCATGTAACGTAATCATATACCATTCAGATTCGAATTATATTGGTTTAGATAAATCTGAAGTTAAATAAAAAATTTAAAAGCAAAACATAAGAAATAAATATTTATTTATAGAGAATCAAATTATATAAAGTACTTTTTCACCCATCTAATAAAGTACTTATTTAAAATTTTAAACTTATTTTTAGATATCATTTCAAAAATAAATATAAAACTGAATAGCTGAAATATATAATTATGTTTCAAATATTTATATTTGTGATTAATTTGGACATTCAAATCATTTTTTCAGATTTTGCAGGTCACCCTTTCAGGTCTGACTAAAAACATTTCAAGTTCAAATATGTTTTGTACCACCCTATAAGATCAATTCTGGTATTTCTTATCTCTTAGACCGGATATGGATTGGATTTTTGGTTTGAGTTCGGTTCGGACTTCGGGTTACGGATTTTATGCCTATGTGTAATTTAGAATATTCACCGAAATTTTTCCCGCTCTTTGAAAGCACAAATCAAAATCTAGTAAATATATTTATAACCATTTATATAATGTTTATGTAGTATCATATGTATTTATATGAATGTTATTATATAATGTAATCTAGGATATTAAATTATTTCTATTAAAAAATTATGTTAATTCATCTATATTTGAAGATGTTTAATTGCTTGTTTGATACCATAGATTCGATTAAGTAATTTTAGGATTTCCTTTTGAAAACCCTAACCAAATAAATGAAAATTCAAATATGAACAACCAATCAAATTAAAAAAATTGTTTCTAATTTCGCATATGAGTAACACCTAAACAAAAATCACTTAAGTGGCTTCTCAATTAATAAGTGTCGGGCCTGAGGGCATACTTATGATACATTTAATTGGGGTCCACGTTTTTGTGGGGCCCATGATTTAAGAAAAAGCTTATAATTTTTTTTTGTTTTTGCATATTTAGTTTAAAATAAAGAACAAAATACATTAAACAAAGAAAAAGTTCATTAAAAAAACTAATTAAACTATGTAACATGTAAATATCTTGTAGAAATTATTTCAATTAGTTGTTTTTTTATAAAATATGTAACTAATATGATAAATAAAATTTTGCATAAATTATTTAATATATTTTAGTGATTAT